ATTTATTATGTATATATAAATACACACACATGCATGTGTATATTTAAGAAAAATATGTTCATATATATATATATATATATACATATATATAATGTAAATTATATGAATATAAATATATACATGTAAACATTTGTGTCTCTCTATATATAAATAATAAATATACACAGTACGCACACATATATTATATAAACAAAAACTTTTATTTTGGATGCGATTAATCGCGATTATCCGTTGCCCAGCACTAAATATATATTATAGAAAAGAAAATACAAATCGCAATAAAAAAGAAATAAATATATTACAATTAAATTATCCTTACATATTATAGAAAATGGAACAATTACAATAATAAATAAATAATATATATATTTCAATTAAATGATTTAATAATAATTTACAGTTTATAATTTAATTTACTAATATGTATAATATATATATATTTTTTAAATCCTTCTTTTGGTATGACAAATACAGTATACATGAAAAAAGCAGTTGAATGTAAAATAAGGTTTCCTTTTTTGCTATATTCACTCAATAGAACAAATCTTCCTCTGTTCTATCTGTAATTCAGCGTTTACCTAAAATATAAAATGTAAAAGCAAACACACAATTATAGGGGCTTTATAAGAGACTGTCTGAAGCATCTGTGGGACTGTGCCATTGTCAAGGGTGCATTGCTCTCTGTAAAAAGCCAGGCAGACTCAGTCATATGCTCGGGTAATATAGTGAGGCCATTTTCAATCAGCAACTACTGTCTGAGTAAGAGAGGGATGGCGAAATAGAGAGTGAGCGTGGAAGCGAGAGAAAGTGAACTGAGGAGAAGGTATAGCTCTTGTACAGAGTGTTGTCAGTAGTTCAGAAGGGGCAGCCGACCAACAATGAAAACTATCAGCGAAGAGAAAGCACAGAACTGTTGACCTTTACTAGCCAAGCTTCAATTAGACATAAAGAGTGTGAGTCTGTGATAAAGTGTGTGTATGACAGACCAACCACTTATCACCACACTCTACCACAGAAATTCAGTGCCTTGCTAAATTTAATCCATTATATTTTAACAAATAAAAAAAAAAGTCCTTCTTTTGATATTATGAATTTCCATATAAAAATATGCTTTAAGTAAATATATTTTTGCCCTAAATACACTAATAATAATATTATTTTGACAGTTCAGTCTTTTCCCTCGAGTACATACTGGCTTCGCTGTGGTTCTGGCATCATTTTATCCATTCTTCCAGGCAGATTTGCTCCAGGCTGTTAAAGTTAGTAAGATGACACCTAAACAACCTGAACCTGTCAAACAGTGCCACCTATTCTCAATTGCCAAGGCCATTACAGGACATTTTATGCTTTTGAGCGTTCATCTGGCCTTGCATCTGGAACCTTTGTTTTGGTAAAAAAAAACGCTTTGTCGAAAGACTCACTTTTTTGCAGACTGAAACACGTAATTTTGCACAATTTTCCTGTATTTTGCATCAGCCATTCTTCCTTCGATTTTAACAGCATATACTTGGCCAATGCTAAATTTGTAGTATACACGTCACTTTAAAGCTAAACATGGTTCTCTGTTAGTCTCATCTGACTACGAAATCTTTTCCACAATCCCCCCTATGAGCAACAGTGCCGTGTGTCAAGCCTTTTGGCAAACTCCAGAAGTGCTGCGACATGGTTCTTTTTGAACACTGTCCTCTTTTGTGTCACACTCCTGTATGGGCCAGTGTTGTCCAGGGCTCTTGATATGTTGTCGGGTGCACCTTCAGCTCCAGAAATCTGTAGCCCCTTCAAAGTGTTTGTTTGCCTCTCTGTAGCTTCCATCACAAGTCTCCTGCTTGCTTGTGCAGAACATTTTGTGGAAGAACCATGTCTAGACAGTGCTTGCCTGGTTTGATATAGCTTCCACCTCCTGAATCAACAATGCCCACTGGGACAACCAAACACTGGCATTATTTTCAATTGTTATGTACTCTTTTGACAATTTATGCATTTGTTTTACATATGCTCTTTAGTCATTATTTTCACCTGTATAATTTAATTCAAAGACTGAATAATGCTCCCATAACTGTGGGAGTTTTTGATCAAGAATTTGCGCAAGCGATTTTAATGATTCACAGGTAGAGACCAATTATAAAGCAATCTTGTCCTCATTAGAGCAATTGTATTTCATCTGTGTAACCGAAGAGCTTCTACAACCCAGGTACTGAATATTTATATAAATAGCATATTTCAGTTTTTATCTGTAATAATATTGTCTAGTGCCATGGTAAAATTATTTTAAATAACTTGAGTTTCAGTGCTTAGATTTGTTACTCTGTGTGCTTGTGCAAAACTGGCTCTAAGTTCTTCTGGGTGGTTGTTAGGGTGTTACTAGGTGGTTGCTTACTGGCATAAGTTAAAACAGTCCATTATTGAATCTCTTTGGTCCCTTTTTTTCAAAGCAAGTCTATGAGATACTAAAATTGACCAAGATGTTGACTTTATATATTGGCTGATAACAACACAACATTATCTGAAATAAATGGCTGATAGTAAAATGATACAATATTTTGTCTAGTAAAGTAAATTCAAAAATAAAAGAGTACAAATTTAATCAATATTTTTTTCTAAATGCTAGAAGTGAATTTAGCTATCAAAACTGCAAACAATTTGCAGTATAAAAATATACACTACCAGTCAAAAGATTTTGAACAGTAATATTTTTAATGTTTTTTAAAGAAAAAAACAAAGTCTGCATTTATTTGATCCAAAATACAGCAAAAGCAGTGGTATTGTGAAATATTTTTACTATTTAAAATAACTGCTTTCTATTTGAATATATTTTAAAATGCAATTTATTCCTGTGATTTCAAAGTTGAATTTTTAGCATCATTACTCCAGTCACATGATCCTTCAAAAATCATTCTAATATTCTGATTTGCTGCTCAAAAAAAAAAAAAACTTTTATTATTATTATTATTTTTTGTCAGGTTTTTTTGATGAAAAGAAACATACACTGTTTTAAATACTGTTTTAAATATTGATAATAATAATAATGAAAAATGTTTCTTGAACAGCATATTAGAATGATTTCTGAAGGATCATGTGACACTGAAGACTGGAATAATGATGCTGAAAATTTTAGCTTTGATCACAGGAATAAGTTACATTTT